AATTAATTAACTGGTTTTCTCAAGTTAAATTAATTTTTTATCTGTTTGTTAAATTAGTCATATCTTTATATAATTTAAAACAAAGTAATGAATATGCATTAAATAATGTGAAAATCTCTAATTTAAGAAAAGGGCCGGGAGCTCTTAACTCTTTTATCTTCTTCTACTACCACATATGACGCTAATTGCCTTTCAGTCTCAGTCTAATACATGATGCAATTCTTTCTCAAGTGCATGCATAAATCACTAAATCAATTGAAAGGATATCTATAAATTTAGCTTATTAGTAGATGTCTCCAGGAAGAAAGTATAAAGAGCGTTGAACAATGGTAATAGTGGATAGTTTACCATGTGGTCCAATCACATATAATGCAGTCCCATGACAGCATATCAAGATATAAACCATCCAGGTCGAAGCTTGCCCGCTATGTAGAAATACCAATGATCTAGCTACTTGTAGAGAGGAAATAAATGTTGCCATGTTGAGGACGCCGAACACCAACTAAGTACCTTTTGGCTTTACAGTTTTCCCAACTGCGTTTAATTTTTTTTTTGCATTTGCGCTGTTGGACGCAGTATAATTGGTGTTGTCTTCGTCACTTTGATTCTGGAATAGTAAAGGTTATCTTGCCCAACACCTCTAGGGAGACTAACAACAGCTTGATATCTAACTATTACTATTAGTGAAATAACCACAAGTGCCATACTGTAATCTCATTTTGTTATGATTACAACCTTGCTTGACACTTCTAAAATCAAATTTCCTTTGATAAGCATCTTAACAAGAGGTGAAGGTGCCTCAAGGGTATGTTGATGAATTCGATAGTAATTATTATATGTTAAGAACTTGGAAAATTATTTGTACATTTATTGGTTTAATACACCTTTTGACATCTATCTAATTTAATCATTAAAATATAATATAAATATAGTCAATTTAATTAGTTTTTGAATGTTATATGCATAGCAATATTTTTAAATTTATTTACTTTTAATTTTGTATTATAAAAGAATAATTTTTTAATAAATATATTATATAATATATTAAATCAAGGGTAATGATATTTGGGTTGCATACATTGGGTTGAAGACAAGGTCGAACCATGTGGCTTGCCAAGTTGTTCGCTTACATGGCTTTTCTTAAAAAAAAAAAAAATTCAAAGTTGTCATTCTTAATTCCTTCTATTCTCTCTTGGAAAATGATTTGGAGACAACCTTTTTGTACTATTTTTTTGCATTACTTTTTTATATAACTTTACGTGTCATTAAAATGATTGGCTCATTTTATTCATTTAAGACCCATGATATTAAATGCATTGACTCATTTAATAACATATAATAGTTGTATAAAAAAGTGATATAAAAAAATTATTCATATATCACTGCCTTTTCTCTCCTCTCTTCCTATGTTCCCCAATAACAGATATCATTACCCATTCTTCTCTTTCTCTTCCTTCAATTTATTGACTGCATCAATAATTCCTCATATCAACTAATTTCCACCTTCAATATCCTTTTTGATTGTTCCTTAGATTTTTTGTGGGGATTTCTATCATTGGGAATTTCCTCTTAATCTCCTTTTGGATTCATTTTATGGGGACTTCTACCAAGAGAACTGGTTGTAAGTGGAATTGGTGACAATAGTTGCTTGCCCTCGAAATCATGTTGTAGAGTTGGTTAATTGGTCCTAAGTTGTTTTGAGTGGTGCAAGCAACCTCAATTTCATTTGCAAAATTAGTCATTGGTCCGATCAATGCCTTAGAGCTCTCAATTTAAGGAGTAATAAAGCAAAGGAAGACACAAATGGATGGTTAACCAAGGTCAATAATATGATTAATCGTAGTGTTTGGGTGATATGTACTATTGAAGTTACTGTTAGGGTTTCTTAAAATGATTGGTGGATGATCAATAACAAAATTTTGGGTTTTAAGTAGACAAGATTCGGAAGATTAGTGTCTCTTTAAACTATGCATACCATGTGTTTGTAGAATTGCCTAAGTGGGATTTTGTTAAGGCTTTTCCTCTTGACAAATATTGGTATTAGGCTTTTCCAAAAAGCTCCACTTCTTTTTGGTAAAGGAAAGGTTTCATTTGGGATTTATATAAACCAAACATATTGATTCTTTATTGAAAGTTTGTCATGTTGTTGCCATAACTATTACTCATGTCTAGGGGGTGGCAACCCTGTGGAACAGCAACCCAACTACCCAAGTATTCATTACACTTGTGGGTGTTTTCTTAGAAATGTAGACCTAGAAAAAGAGGATAGATGTTGGTGTTATCAAATTCATAAGGGATGGAGACATGTTTTACATGAATCTTTTGAAATTACTATATAACTAATTTGCCACCTTATTAGCATTTTTAGAAACCACAACCATTTTTGAGGAAGGAAAAGAAGTCCTCATAGTAAAATATATAATGACATTTATACAAAAATGTATTGGTGTTGATAAGACTGCTCTTAGAATACTTTTAGTCTTTTGGCCATTAAGAACTCAAGCTACAAGTGCAAAGGGACATTGTGATGCTAAGAGCAAAAGGGAGTATAGGGGCTTGTATCTTGCCATGTGATTAAGAAGATTAAACTCATTTCTTTGTAACTGTTGATGAACTATCAGAGTTTAGTCCATGTATATATACTATGCAAACTACAAATACTCTTTTATTAATAAAAATGGCCTTTTTTCTATTGACAACTTTATTTCTTTCATATGGAGTCTTTTCATTGACTAATAGCATTACTCTCATACTTATATGTCCCTTGGTATATCATGACAATGTCAAAATTTCATAATTATAATAAAAACCAAGA